TATATTCATTTTTTTTTTTTTTTTGATAGACGTGCCCACCACCTATGATTAGAGCATGCACGCACTGAGAGGGTGCCACTTGGATAATTCCAAACCTCAGAAATTACGATATCAATAGGTTTAAACGTAAAATAGATCACTCATTTATAACGATGTTTTAGATGCTGTTGGGAGATGATTTTGATTCAAAATAGATGCATATACTTCTATTTAGAGAGGCTAGGCGAATACAGCGAGAAGTTACCTTCTCTTCTCGACTGCAAAGACATTTTAGTTAGCTAGAAATTCACCGACAGCTGCCGCTAAAACGTACGGCTGTACAGTTAAGGATTTCTCCATTACTGATTAAAAATGTCAAGAAAACATTGTCTCTTGTCAATTTCTCGACATAAATTGTTCATAGGGAGTATCAAACTATACAATCATGAAGAGTTTAGTGACATCATTATAAATAAAACTTACTTCAACTAAATTGCCCCTTTAAGGTAGTGTTGCTGTATATACGAAAAAACACAGTACAGTGGGGCAGGGTCCTTAAGAATGTGTTTTGTCTCCCAATGTTACACGCGCGTATTATATGAACGATATATTTGTGTTTTTCTAAACACTAGCGTAAATATTGTGAACACTACTTCGAATATGATCGATACATACATATGCAGTGATTAATCTACAATTCAGTTTTACGAGACCTTTCCAACTGTATTGCTTAAAACAATGAGTCCCACAATGTTAAATTTAAGTATTTCCAGAAATTCTGTGAGTCCCATAAAAATATGAGTATGACTCAGGACTCGCATGTAGAATTATCACTGCATATGCCCTCGTCAAATAGTGAATGATAATCGAATATGTCAAAATAGCAAACAGTTTGATAGCCACAGCTGCTCTGAAATGAAAACTGTAAATGTGTGGAGAAAAAATATTGATATTAAGGAAAATATTCTCAACGATTTTTTTTGCATTCGCTTCAGTTTTGTTTCCTATCAAAACAAGATTACATCAGCTGTTTAAAACCCTTAGGACACCGGCCTTGATACATGAATGTTATTGATTTTCAGTAGACATAATCTGACATGGAAAAAATTTGAGACCTACTATGGCCGAATGGGGCCGACAATAATGACCTGTAATTCGATTTGTTTTGTCCCACAACTTTGAGCTCGTTTTTCTGTGTGACAAAAATGACATGTGCTTTTGATGTGACAAAAATGACCTACGATAAGTTTATGCTTTGTCCGACTAATTTTAACTCGTTTTTCTGTACGACAAAAATGATCTACGGTTCGAAGTTGCTTGCTCGATAAACAGACTAGTTTTGTGTGTTTTTTTGTTCGGCGAAGGACGCATGTTTTCCGTTGCCATAAGTTTTTCACGTTGTCTCAGATAACAGTATACTTATCGTAGACATCAAACAGATGCACGTGAAGTATAAAACATTAACAACGCGACTCTGACGTACATGTACCTACATGTAGGTAAATAGACTAAATACAGTATTTGAGTGGTCCTTACTGAAAAATGATAGTTTACGAATCCAAGTGCATCTTTACAAGCACTTTTATTCACGGAACCCTTTTTGTAGGACAAAAATGGGTTCGAAATTCGCCCGACAACAAAACAAAATCGCAGTTTACATCTGCAAGACAGAAAAAACGGGGTTTGAATTTTGTCTGACTAAGCATCATCGGATTGAATGACATTTTTCCTGAAAAAAATACAGGTTTGAAGTTTGCTGGACATAAAAATATTGTAATTAAAAGAAAAAACGGGTTTAAAATTTGTAAGGCGAAAATACATCTGGTATCGAATATATTGAAAATGTATAAATTGAAATACTTGAATCAAATCAAGTATAAACTAACAACGAACTGTGTGTCATTGCTGTTGGACCCGTTCGGCCACCGTAGAGGTCCAGTTCTGAACGATTTCCTCATGTCTTTTCTTGCATGTCAGTTTGTCTTTCTTTTAATCTTATTATATATTGACTGATTGCTCCATTTATATTGCGTGTATTATTTTGAACAATTTAACGATCCCCTCAACATAACATTGGCAATATACGTGTCGTCTGTGTAATCTACAAAAAGGATTGATTTAGTAAGGCTATGATTTCCGCTCCGAACCAGCTGACGATGTTCGATTTGTATTTTTTCAAGTGTCTCTTAGTAAATATTTCTTTATTTGTTTTGCCCCAGGTTTCATCGATTGGTAGTTTAAATTACTGGTTTGTTAACACTTTGATTTCCCTGTGTCTATCGCTTATACTGTTAGTGACTTTTACATTGAAGAATTAATTTGAAAGGGAATTGTTTAAACGATAGTTACACACACATGTACACATATGTACATTACGATTCATCTAAATAATAACGTGCACATAATATGTTTGGTCTCGTGAATAGAGACAGAACATTAAATACCTGCCTTACTCTGATTTTAAACCTGCCCTAGAGAATTTTATTAAAACGAATTGGCAACATAAATGGTATGAAGAAATAAGCAATAACGTATTTGCAATTAAACCTAATGTAGGTTCATGTGCGACATGCAGAGCAGACCGCAGAGAGAAAGTTGCCCATACCCACATTTCAAATGGTTATATTTTATGTAAGGAAGATCAGCCTTTTACAGTCAAACATTTTATGATTGAATGCGCTAATTTCAAACAAGGTCGTGACAGAATTTCTAATGCACCCGTCTATGAAAAGTTTATTTGATACAGTTTCCGTGCAATTGATATATGTCTATTTGCACTCAATTTATCTTTACCATAAGATATGATATATTTACAACTAATTCGTTTGCGATTGATACAATTTTTACATACATTTTCACTTATTTTCTTTTAGTTTGGTGTATTAATTTTTATAAATGTCTATTTTTGCATTATTTTTGGCCGTTAATGACTCGCATTGTTGATGGGCCATAAAAATACAAAATCAGTCAAATATATAAAGTGACATCAGTAAACACACTCCTATAAAGTGATACGTATCACATATATGCAGTACTAAACCTATGTTACTGCTATCTACCCTACTGTCAATGTCTTTTTAACGTGGATCTAATTTTCGCGATATTGACGGCAAAACGTTTTCTCAAATTTATTTTTTTCCTAAAGATACATCGAAATTGACTTAAAAAGTTAATCCATTTAAAATTAACATAAATGTATGTTGACTTACAAAATATATCCCCGAAAAACTGTTTACATGCAGGGGAGCCACGCACAGTTGCTAATTTTAGTTAAACTTTGAACATTCTCCCCTTCTCCAAAAACAAAACAAAAACAAAAAATTAGTCATCTTCATGTCCATCAACAAGGATTATATACAGTATGGTTTCCTATTTTCTAGCCTGATTTTGTTTTGTTTTCTCAGTTCCAGTCCCAATAGTCATTACGACGTACATGAGGAGTGGTTCATCCTTCCTTGGGGAGATTCTACAGGCCAATCCAGACACGTTTTATTGGTTCGAACCCGTCCACGAAATGTGGGGATTACATAAAGCTAACATCAACCACCAATATGATTTCAAAGACGGAACAAAACGGTTTGTTTGTTTGTTTGTTTGTCTATTGAATTGTTAGTTTGTACACCACTATGAGCATCTTCTATATCCAGGGTTACGCTCATTTACGCTCTCCGCAATCCCCCGGAATATGTCATGACACAATCTAAGGCTCAGTATGCGCCACCCTTGGATGAGACAAGACTACTAATTGGATCCTTTGGCATAAATTAAAATAAATTCGCGGTCGCGTAACTGTAAAATGGACTGATTCGAAATTGGGTGTCGTTTCTCTGTAATTTTGAAAGAACCGGTATCAGCCTAACGATGGGTCAATATTTATTTTTAAATCTGAGACCAGTCATTTTTATTGTTTGGTTTGTTTGTGTTTAACGTCCTATCAACAGCTATGGTCATTTAAGGACGTGCCAGGTTTTTGTGGTGGAGGAAAGCCCGGAGTTCCCGGAGAAAAACCTCCGACATAATTCCAGTATCTGGCGACTGCCCCACGTAGGCCTCGAACCCACGACCCAGTGGTGACGGCCAAGTGGTATTAGAGTGTAGGACGCCTTAACCACTTGGCCACCGCGGCCCCCTGAGACCAATCAACAAGCTAGCCGCTTGCCTTCAATTTTGCTATGGCATTCATGTATTCCAGGGGTACAGAGAGCGAAAGTGACTGTAACCATTTGAGTATCGGGGATGTATGTGATAAAGCATCAACATTTGTTTGTGACAGATAAGATCCGTCAGATAAAGCTTGACTTAAAAGGTAAATTTCAATGCACTACATATACCTTGTATTCATATAACCTGTTATAATTACCTAGTTTTTAATGCAGACAGGTAATATGGTATCATTATATAGGCATAAACCTTTATACCAAATCTGTCGCTTCAAAAACCTATTCCTCCATTGATTCATCTGCTCCACAACGTGGGCTGTTTTAGTTCATAAGGCGTTGTCACTACTTTCTCTTGCAGGATATTCCCTTCTTTTCTGGACATAGCAGTTCCCACCATCAAAAACCTAAGTACATGTGATCTGGACAATGTTCCTATGAATGTTTTGAGAGAACAGTTTCTGGAAAAAAGTAAACAGATGAGAGAGTTTGTACAATGTAGAGGCTATAAAAAGAAAGGCCATGCAAGCAATACAAGATTAATTCAATGTTTACCGAATCTAAAGACAAAATGTGCAAATTCTAAATACATTGTCGTAAAAACTATTCGAATTAATATGAAAAGCTTAGAAATTATGTTAGAAAATATACCAACATTAAAAGTGATACACCTAATGAGGGACCCAAGGGGAACGTCTCGCTCTCAACAGGCCGTCGGCCAACTCTCAAAACAAAACTATAGACAGGAAATAGCGGATTTCTGTAAACTTGTGTATGAGGATGTCCTGCAAAAAGAGTTATTGGAGAAGAAATACCCCGACAGAATTAGAACAGTGTTTTACGAAGATGTTGCTAGGAACCCGATAACATATGCCAAATCATTGTATGCATATCTCGGCATGCAGTTTACCGCCAATATTGAGAAAACGATTCACGGTTTTACATTAGCCGGAAGAAGTGGTTCAAAAACTTGTGGAATTCTTTGTACTCAGATGGCAAACTCAACTGAAGAGGCCAGCAATTGGCGGAATCAAATCAGTATGACATTGGTTAAAATAGTCGATACTGCCTGTTTTGATTTGTATAACAAAATTGGTTATAAATCCATTCCGAATGTCACTTTATTACGCGATAGATCCTTTGAACTCCGTTACTGACCATGTAGAATGCCATTAAAAGTTGTCTTAATTTTGTTGTGGTCGGTACTTGCAAGTATGATGCCATAAGTAAATTATGAATTTCTGAGAATAAAATAATTATTGAGTTATATAAATGTCCCAGGGTGTGCGTTTGTCAAATTTATGTAAAAGATAGTACGCTATATGTGTGTGTACCATAAACATTATAAATCATAGCGTCAACATACATGGCAAAAGAGCTAAAAGTCGTTTCCCTTGCTGCCTAGTAGAAACTCATAGGGTTCGCCCTATCAACAGTATTTCTTTCTTTAACAACTACTCACATAGCCTTCAGGTTCGAGTCCCACTGTTTTGTTGAATAGTGTTGATAATAATTTATTCTTCGACATTGACACGACCGATATACAATACGAAATTGACGACACAAAATACGACAGGAAAAACATGAAAATTGGATCTCCTTAATGTGAGCGATTGATGATTTGTGAATAACTAGACCGCTGCCAGTAGCGGGTTCATTTTTAAAGATTCTGTCTTTCTTATTACAGATCTCTTCACAGTAAGTGTAACTTTTACACGATGCTTGAAAGATCTTCAAGAGTCTTGATGATCACCAATTATGCCGGGGGGTCGTCAAAATTCAATCACGAAAGATTGGGATGGTAAGGGAAACCATCGCGTTCCCCCGCGATCGGTACGCTAAAGATCACGAAACGTCAGCAAGACCCACCGTGTTCGCTGTGCTCACTTAGGCGAGAGACGTCGATCTCTATTTACCTGGGAAAATGATATGTCAGGGGATGATGATAAGCTATAGTCAGTGGCGTTTCTTTTGATAATATTTTATCAATTTCATTTCAAAAGCAAAACATACAGACAGAACTAAGAGAGATATGTATTTTACGTATCTAACATTAAAATCGTATTTGTTAACTAACTGAAATGCATTTGTCATTTCCTTTCTATGGGTGTCCTAAATTACTGCTACATATGAGCACGGACTTAAGTAGCGATCTATTTCCGTGAATCTACAAAATGTCGGCTTATATAATACATTTCGATTTCGTTCTAATAGAAAAAACGCGATAGCGAAAGTTTGGCCCCGCAAAAGTAATGTTACGAAGTATTTCATCTTTGAACATACAAGTTATTCCACAGAACACCACCAAAGTAATGTTAGGATCTATTTCATCTTTAAACATACAACTTATTCCACGGAACACCACCAAAGTAGAGACGTATATACTACAAATCTCTTGCTTTTTATGTCTCTGACCAAAGTAATGTTACGATCTATTTCATCTTCGAACATACAAGTTATTCCACGGAACACCAACAAAGTAATGTTACGATCTATTTCATCTTTGAACATACAAGTTATTCCACGGAACACAACGAAAGTAATGTTACGATCTACAACATATACGGAATTAGATTATATTCATACATATAATTTGTTTATAACTTAATTAATTTTACTCGCTGTATAATGCACAACAAAAAGAAACACGTATTATTAATACCACTGGTATCGGGATTAGTCTTAGATTTGTTGGTGTATGGATCATATATAAGATCGATTTTCGTTAAAATGCCATCCCCGATGATCATTTTTAGCTTCTCAGGTCCCTGTGCTCCACTCCAGCAAGTTATCGTCACACTCAAGCGATTGTGTTTCATCTACAAATGTGCTATGCTATTGTATGTCTTTGGTTTGTGCCTACGGTAGCCGACGTGTATCCGTTACCAGTGTGATAAAATTTCACATATATGGCAGTGTGATTTAAAGTCTTTGATGCTCGGGTATTTAACAACACTGGTCAGGGCAAAGTGTCGACTGCAATATACTTGCAACAATCCCAACCCACCACAATTGTGCACGAACCTGATGGCTACATTCAAAATCATCTACAGGCAAAATATCTTCCCCTGCAGCGACATTTTCGTATACGGTGAATATATATTTAGGGTTACAGAAAGAAACGTCTATTTACATTAAAATGTGTTTCAGTTAAAATCTGCGATAAAATGATAACCTGTACGGTAGAAAAAGAGAGCAGTACAGGCGGATGAATAGACGAACAAAAGGTGAAAAATAATATTCTTCTTTGAGACCGGTATACTGACTAGGAAATGATTTTGATCTTGATAGGGGAAACTGGAAATTCACGGGTCGTTTCATTTCATGAACAACATATAACAGTATATGAAGTTGTATTAATTTCAGAAAAATGTTCCCTTTCTCTGGAGCCGAGATGCAGGCAGGAAAAGACAGCTGAAGTGGTTTAACAGTAGGGGAATGCATTTTTAGAAAGAATGTTGTTAAAAAAGACATAGGAAAATAGTTGCAATGTTCACACAGGGTACCCCGATCCTCACGGTACGGAGTGCTCTGGTCACGGCAGAGCAAAGTAAGCTAAGTCGAATAAACATTTTTATTTGGAAACATCAACTTTCTCTTATTTAAAGCCTGATTTTTTTACCAACAAGATGTATGACGATAAGACGAACGATCAAATATCAAAACACCAAAGAGTTGTACATTATACCAAAAAAGGTGCACATTTAATCTATCGATTTATATGAAAGTATCGCGATCTTGTAGTAGGAATACTGATTTATCTTCTAATAGATACATTATGCCGCGAAAAAAACCTATGACAACTATGATATGCTAACTAAAGTATTGCAAATAGGAGATCTGATCAGTTTATTTCTTATCGTAATTAGAGACGTACATACTGGCTTTTTATGTTTCCGTCGTAATTTTTCAGGAAAGGACAATTTCATTAGTATCCGTTCTGTACGGAGTACCTTTTCAAAATGAGAAAAAGAGCTGATGAAGAACACTGTCGTGTCAGATGCTTCCCCCATCACCGGCAAAAACACTTATACACTTCACAACTAAGAACACAAACCTGAACACAATAGCTTTACTGATCATTTGTATTTGTTTTGCCTCGCTCATCTTGGCGCACTTATAACATATGTAGGAAAGATATCAGAAATACATATGGTTTAAGATACTTTCCAATTATCCAATTATATGTTATTTAGGATTTGATCTGGATGAAGCAGTATCGATATAAAAGATACTGTGCTGACCATGAATCGATGCGTGGTTCATTGTAACCATACGCAATAAAGGAAAATAAAAAAAAACCAAGCAAATTCGTGGAATTTATATCCCAAGCCCGCAGGACATAGTGTATGTTAACATTATTGAGGTTATGTTTAAACATGTGAGTATCGTGCTGTTGAGATATAATGTATAGCTTGAAACTTGAAGAACAAAAAAAGCCCTATACCTCATTGATTATCCGTAAATATGCACAAATCACATCGGTTAGCAAACTTAGTATGAGTTGGATGTTAATAAGGAATTTGGTAAAAACATCTTAACAATATCTACAGCAATTATCACACGAAAACCAAAGAGTGCCCGAGATGTGCTGAAAGACAGAGGAACACAAACATTGTTATCAAGTTTGAAGCAATTTGGCAAATATTTGCCAGAGTTATTAGCGGAAACTGCAGATAATGGCGCTTTCTCGTTAATCAAGGGGCCAAATGAAATCCGTTTAAAGTTATCAAACTTGGCCGAGCCCTTAATGCGTTGAACCCTGTTACTAAGTTTGAGCACAATCGGATAATATTTGCGTGAGTAAATGAATTAAAACGACAGATAATGACGTTTTTCGTTATACAAGGGGACATAACTCCGCCACATGGGGTCCGCTAAAAATGGTCATGATACTTGGCCGAGCCATTAAGGCTTTTAACCCTGTGACCAAGTCTGAAGAAAATCGGTTAACATTAGTTGTAGTTATTGCACGGAAACGAAGCGCGGCAGATACTGACTATTTTCATTATTCAAGGGGCCATTACTCCGCCAAATCGGGTCCGCTAAAAGTGGGCATCGATCTTGGCCGAGCCAATACGGCATTTAACCCTGTGACCAAGTTTGAAGAAAATCGGTTAACATTTGTTGTAGTTATTGCACGGAAACTTCAGACAGACAGAAAGACAGACCCAAATTAATACCCCCCGTTTCGGTGCAAGCGGGGGATACAAAGACTAGAATGGTAAACAAACATGTATCTATGTGTTTCAGCTGGGCGTCGAACCCCGTACCTCAATATATTGAGATGTACGATGGGTGCTATAGATTTTCATTAAAAATGCAGTAGCACATGAAGCCGTGCTAACTTGTTGACTTAGTCCTGTTTCCTCATTCGGTGGTATAACAAAAAATAATAAAACGATGATACGTAAAAAAAA